AATAAATAAAATCTTTAACAAAATATATTTAAGGAGCAGCTGGGTGGCTCAGTCAGTTAAGCGTCTGCCTTCGGCTCGGGTCATGATCCCCGGGTTCAAGTCCCCGGTCAGGCTTCCTGCTCAGCAGGGAGTCTGCTTCTCCCTTCCCCTCTGCCCCCAACCCCCGTTCGTGCTCTCTCTTGCTCTTGCTCTATCTCAAATAAATAAAATCTTTAAAAAAATATATTTAAGGATACAGAGACACTCTCATTCATAAAGAATCTGTACACGTATATAACACAAAATACTGTTTCAAGATGGGAGATGGAGAATGACCTTCCTTCTTTGTGTTTTCTGGGTTTTTCTATAACGAATACCTATTGTTTATTAATTATAAAATCAACTTAAATTATCTTAAATATTTAGTTTTTCTATTGCATAATCTTTAATATATTTCTAATTATGCCATGTAATGCATTAATTACTAAAATAGAAAAAACGTTAAAGGCAAAATAGAAAGTTAGAAAATATATCTGCAATATACTGGATAAACAATGGAAAAAAATCCTTACTACATAAGGAAATTTTGGGAAGATACACCAAATTTTTAACAGTGGTTTTATATATATATATGTATTTATTTCCATTTGTGGAAAATGTGTACTTATATTTGAATTACTGGGAGAAAATAGAAGGCTGCCAGAGGCTCTCTCTGAGTGCTGAGGTGGTGAATCATTTTTATTCTTCTGTATTTTTATTTTTGTGTATTTTTAGATTTAAAAAAATACTTTTTTGAAAATTTCAATAGGAATCCTTAAAAATCTAAATTTCTATGGCTGGCTAACAAAGCACTTCTATGTCTGTTTCTTTGGAGGGTGGTTCTCTCTTCTTCAAGAATGTCCTTCACCAGTGGGAGGAAGGCAACCTGCCCTTCTGCCTTTTGCCCTACCTTCATTCTACTCTGCCCTGGCGGGTAGCATGTCCTACACTCTAGCCACTTGGACACCGCATCCTGGTCCCCTGGAAGCTATCCACATCCCCTCAGCCTCTCCCACAACCGAGACCTGCCGAATGAGTGAGCCAAAACACCTATGAATCATCTGGAACTCGAACAATAAACACATTCCCTGGAATGTACAAAGTAATTATACGCAAATGTAATTAAAGAGAATAACTATTAAATACACCAAGTTAGTGACACATAGCAGCCAAATGGCAGAAGCTTCCTGAAGCGATTTCCTGATTTGACAGCAGCATGCGTCACGAGATCGGTGCTACTTAAAAGTTTATGATGCTTTTAACTTACAGGAGACACAGGTAACATACCACTGCTGTTTTCCTAAATGGGAACTAGGAGTGCTTTGCTCCCAGATATAGCTGGGGAATACCCATTTTCCCCGTAACCATCCTTAGTCCTGACACAGCCTCTCTGTCCTTAAACACTTGCTGATTCCCCATCAAAAAGCTCCTCTAACCTATTTGTTCTCTTCAACTTACTTTTTAGGTTGAGTTGTCTGAGGTTTTATGATGCCTCAAAGGGAAGAGGACTCTACCCTCCCAATGTAACTGGCTGCCAATTCAAGGCCACCGATGCCCAGCTACCTCTTTTACATTCTAAGCCCCTGCTGAAGTGCCCATCACTTCCCCAGAGCATGCAAAGCCCCTAGGTAGCACTGGGATTGGTTAATACATTAGGCAACAACCAATTCCATAATGGCAATGCTTTCATGGAAATCAGTCATCTGAAAAGACAGACAAACCCAGGCCCCAGAAGCTTCAAAAAGAGCAAGTGAAGACAAGCCAGAAGGAATGTTTACATGGGTGGGGGAGCTGCGCCATCTCCAATCCCTTGGCAAAGTGGGTGGTGGTGTCATAGAACTCTAGCAGCTTGAGGAGCTCCAGCTCAGGCCCTGCCCTCTCCACGCTGGAGCTGAGGCAGTCGGGCAGAGTGGGCAGCAAGGCCCCCAGAGTCTGAATCAGCAGCACGGTCACCACCTCGTGGGGGTTCTTGAAAACCTACAGTGGGAGAGAGGTATCTGAGTTAGCACACAGGACCAAAGAGGAGCATACCTTTTAAAAAAGAAGCAGTCTCCTGGACTGCTCTCAGAGGAATCTCTCCAACAGCTGGAAAGTGGCCTAGTCAAGAGCTTTAAGCCCCAAGCAGTCCTTACCCCAAACTCGAACAAGCTCAGAAAGCCAAGTAACTGGCAGAACTTGCAACTTGTCCCAAACAATTGGCTACTTCATGTCTATTACTGGCGCCCAGTGCCTCTTTTCAAATCTATCACACGTAGTATTTAGATGGCCACCCAAAACTGGCCAGCGAGGATTGTGCGGATGACAGTGCAGAAACTGGGAGTGTGCGGGAGGTGGGGAACAAAGTGGAATTAAAGAACAGCAATTCACCGAGTCAGGGTTGGAGGACATTTAGCCAGATTTGCAGACGAGCCCACAGCCACCTCTCTCTCCCCTTGACACAGATCTTCGGTAAAGATGGATTTATCTTTTATTCTAAGGACGACCAGGAAGAGTGTATCCAGGGCCTTTTAGATTATAGATTCACTTATTCACTAAGAGTCTTTTTTTCCTGTTTCATACACTACTGATCTCTTGGACAAAACTGGAAAAATGTACACAGTACATTTAGAGAGGGGTCTCAGAGACACCCCTGTGTTGATCAAATGCTTTTTTTTTTATCATAACATAACTTAAATATGCACAAACATGAAAACAAGATATAAGACCATTCTTAGGTAACTCTAAGGCCAAAAAAGGTGGAAGTTTAAAAACTATAAAATCAATAAACTCAAATTTTATGAGAAAAGACCCTGAGAGGAATGAAAATGAAAACACAACTTCCCCAAAGTTACGGGATACAGCAAAAGCAACACTAAGAGGGAAATTTATAGCTTTAAACACATACGTTAAAAAGGAAGAAGATCTCGGGCGCCTGGGTGGCTCAGTTGGTTAAGCGACTGCCTTCGGCTCAGGTCATGATCCTGGAGTCCCAGGATCGAGTCCCGCATCAGGCTCCCTGCTCAGCGGGGAGTCTGCTTCTCCCTCTGGCCCTCCCCCTCTCATGTGCTCTCTCTCTCTCTCAAATAAATAAATAAAATCTTTAAAAAAAAAAAAAAAAGGAAGAAGATCTCAAATCAATAACCTAATAACACATTAAGGAACAAGAAAAAGAAGAAACTAAACCCAAAGCTAGCAGAAAGAAGGAAATAATAAAGATTAGAGCAGAGATAAATGAAATAAAGAATAGAAAATAAAGAATAAAGAATAAAGAATAAAAAGTTAATTTAAAAAATCAACCAAACTAGCTGGTTCTTTCAGACCAACAAAACTGACAAACCTGTTATCTAGACTGACAAAGAAAAAAAAAAAAAAGAAGCCTTGAATTACTAAAATCAGATACAAAGGTGGGTACATTTACCACAATTTTACAGAAATAAGAGGGATTATAAGAGAATATGATGAACAAGTATATGCCAACAAATTAGATAACTTAGATGAAACAGACAAATTCCTAGAAACACAATTTGCCAAAACTGATTGAAGAAGAAATAGAAAATCTGAATAGTCCTATAACTAACTAGGAAAGAGGCAGAATCAGTAATCGAAAGTGTGTTGCCCCAAAATTCATATGTTGAAGTCCAAACCCCCAGTATCCCAGAATGTGACTATCTTTGGACCTATGAGCTTTAAAGAGGCAATTAAGGTAAAATGGGTCATCTGGGTGGGCCCTTATCCAATCTGACTGGTGTCTTTATAACAAGAGGAGATCAGGGCACAGACACCCATAGAAAGAAGACACAGGTAGAAGAATGCCACCAGCAAGCCAAGAGAGGTCTCAGAAGAAACCAACCCTGCCAATAACTTGACTGTAGACTTCTAGCCCCTGGAACCATAAGAAAATGAATTCCTATTGTTTAAGCTGCCCAGTCTGTGACATTTAGTTATGGCAGTCCTGGCAAACTAATACAAAACACTTTCTAACTCATTCTATGAAGCCAGCATTAACCTGATACCAAAGCCAACCAGACACTAAAAGAAAATTACAGACCATTTCTCTTATAAATACACAATCAACAATACCCAACAAAGTAACAGTAAACTAAATTCAGCAACCATATTAAAAGGATTATACACCATAACCAAGTGGGATGGATCTACCAAATGAAGAGTGGTTCAATATATAAAAATTAATCAATGTAATATACTACATTAACAGAATGAAGGGAAGAAAACACATGACCATCTTGGTTAATGCAGAAAAAAGCACTTGATAAAAACAGCCTTTACGTTAAAAAAAATAAAACAAACAACCAAAAAACTCAATAAACTAGGAATAGAAAAGAACTTCCTCAACATGATAAAGGTCACATTAAGAAAAACAGCTATCGGGCGCCTGGATGGCTCAGTCGTTAAGCATCTGCCTTCGGCTCAGGTCATGATTCCAGGGTCCTAGGATCGAGTCCCGCATCGGGCTCCCTGCTCCGCGGGAAGCCTGCTTCTCCCTCTCCCACTCCCCCTGCTTGTGTTCCTGCTCTCGCTATCAATCTCTCTGTCAAATAAATAAATAAAATCTTAAAAAAAAAAGAAAAACAGCTATCATACTCAATGGTGAAAGACTGAAAGCTTTTCCCCTAAGGCCAGGAACAAGACAAGTATGCTATTTTATTCAACATAGTACTGGAAGTTCTAGCCAGAACAATAGGATAAGAAAAAGAAATAAAAGGCATCTAAATTGGAAAAGAAGAAAAAAATTATCTCTGTTCATAAACTATATGTAGAAAACTCTAAAGAATTCACACACACACACAAACTGTTAGTGTTAATAAGCAAATTTGGCAAAGCTACAGGATATAAAATCAACAAGCAAAAATCAGTTGCATTTCTATACACTAGCAATGAACAACCCAAAAAGGAAATTGAGAAAACAATACCATTTATAACAGCACCAAAGTGAATAAAATAGGAATAAACATAACCAAGGAGCTGAAAGACCTGTATGCTGAAAACAATAAAAAACTGCTCAAGAAATTAAAGACACAAATAAATGGCAAGACCATCCTGTGTTCATGGATTGGAAGACTTAATACTGTTGGAGTGCCTGGATGGCTCAGTCGGTTCAGCGTCTGCCTTCGGCTCAGGTCATGATCCCAGGGTCCTGGGATTGAGTTCCGCATCGGGCTCCCTGCTCCTTGGGGAGCCAGCTTCTCCCTCTCCCTCTGCCTGCTGCTCCCCCTGCTTGTGCTCTCTCTAAGTAAATAAATAAAATATTTAAAAAAAGAAGAATGACATTGGCTAACTCTCACTTCCAGATTTCAAAACTTCCTACAAAGGAACACTAATCAAAACAGCGTGGCACAAGCAAAAGGATAGACACATAGTCCAATGGGATAGAGAGCCTAGAAATAAACCGTCACATACATGGTCGAATAATTCTCACCAAGAGTGCCGAGACCATTCAATGGGCAAAGGACAGACTTTTCAACAAATGGTGCTCTGAAAACTGGATATCCACATGCAAAAGAAAAACATTGGAACCTTACTTTGCACCATTACAAAAAATTAACTCAAAATTAATTAGATCCAAACATTAAGAGTAATGTATAAAAATCTTAGAAAAAACATTTGTTTGGACGCCTGGGTGGCTCAGTCGGTTAAGCATCTACTCTTGGCTTTGGCTCAGGTCATTATTTCAGGGCTGTGAGACTGAGCCCAGCATTGGGCTCTGCACTCAGCAGACAGTCTGCTTGAGATTCTCTCCCTCTCCCTTTGTCCCTCTCCTGCTTGCTTTCTCTCTCTAAAATAAATAAATAAATCTTAAAAGAAAAAGGAAAAAACACTGGGGAAAATCTTCATGACCTTGGATGTGGCAATAGCTTCTAAGTGCAACACCAAAAGCACAGGCAACAACAGAAAAACAGATAAACTGGGCTCCATCACAATTAAAAACCTGTGCATCAAGGAACACTGCAAACAGACTGAAAAGACAACCCATGGGGTGGGAGGAAATACTTACAGATCATATATCAATAAGGGATTAATATCCTAAATACAGATTGAACTCAAAACATAAAACCAAAACCCAACTCAAAACTGGGCAACGGACTTCAACAGAATTTTCTCCAAAGAAAATAATACAAATGGCTGATAAACAAATGAAATGATGCTCAACATCATTAGTCACTAGGAAAACACAAATCGAAACCACAGTGAGGTACCACTTCACATCCATTAGGATGGCTATCATTAAAAAAAAAGAAAGGAGGGGCGCCTGGGTGGCTCAGTTGGTTAAGCATCTGCCTTCAGCTCAGGCCATGATCTCAGTGTCCTGGGATCGAGTCCTGCATCGGGCTCCCTGCTCCGCGGAGAGTCTGCTTCTCCCTCTCCCTCTGCCCCTCACCCCCCACACTCTTGCACTCTCTCTCTCTCAAATAAATAAAATCTTTAATAAATAAACAAACAAACAAGCAAAAGGAAAAGAATGTAACAAGTGTTAGTGTGGATGTGGAGAAACTGGAACCTTCATGTATTTGCTGGTGGGAGGGTAAAATGGTACAGCTGCTGTGGAAAACAGTCTGGCGGTTCCTCAAAAGGTTAAACATGATGATATGATCCAGCAATTCCATTCCTAGGTGTACACCCCAAAGAACTGAAAACAGGGATCCAAATAGGTATATGTACACCCATGTTCACGGCAGCATTATTCACAATAGCCAAAAGGTGGGAGCGGTCCAAGTGTTTATCAACACATGAATGGATAAACAGAATGTGGTAGATATACATAATGGAATATTATTCAGCCATAAAAAAGGAATGGAAAATTCCAGTGTCTGCCACAACACAGATAATCCTTGAAAACATTATGCTAAGTGGAATAAGCCAGACACAAAGGACAGATACTGTACAATTCTGCTTCTTTTTTTTTTTTTTTTTTAAAGATTTTATTTATTTATTTGACAGAGAGAGACACAGCGAGAGAGGGAATACAAGCAGGGGGAATAGGAGAGGGAGAAGCAGGCTTCCCGCGGAGCAGGGAGCCCGATGCGGGGCTCGATCCCAGGATCCTGGGATCATGACCTGAGCCGAAGGCAGACGCTCAACGACTGAGCCACCCAGGCGCCCCTGTACAATTCTGCTTCTAAGAGCGATCTAGAATAGGAAAATACAGAGACAACAGAACAGAGGATACCAGGGCATGGGGGAAAAGGGCTTGGGGAGTTAATGCTTAACAGTCACACAGTTTCTGTTTGGGATGATTAAAAAGTTCTAGATACAGAGAGTGGTAATAGTTAATCAACACTGTGAATATACTCAATGCTGCTTAACTGTACACTTAAAAACGGTAAATTTTATGTTATGTATATCTCACCACAATAAAAGAAAAAGTCACTTCAACTTTAAAACCAGCAAAATTCAAAAGAATAGGACAGATGAAGATGACACCCTGCAAATAAACTTTTTCATCATGAATTCAATCTGAGCACAGGTTCCTTTGAGCTCACAGCATCCCTCTACTGCTTTGCGGTGTGTGATGAGGACTCTCGCACTGCTTCTATCTCTAGGCAAACTACCAACTACAAAGGAAACATCAAGTTGGCTATGGCATTAAACAGAATGCACTTGGTGCCACTGCATACATCATGTAAGTACTGAGTTTGTCCCCAACAGAACAGGGACACCAACATGGTTATCAACATGAATGCACCTACTCAATCACATGACAGCCATTGGTCCTATGGCGATCATGTACATAATCCAAACTATGCTTTTTTTTTTTTAAGATTACCAAAATAATAGAGAATTCACAAAACTTTGGTGAACACCTGTTTAGTTTGATAAACATCCCTGCTGGAATCTGAGAGAAAGGAACAGAGGAAAAAACCAAACAAGCCAATGAAGAATGAAAGGACCAAACTATGGAAATCTCCCCGATTTGTACTCCTTGAGCAACAGTCTTCCAACTGTCTCCCGGATGCCACAGTTGAGGTGGGCCACTCTTTCTTGGCATCTAAGTGTCTCAAACTGGAATTCATCCTCTCCCCCTGACCTTCCCAGACCTGCTTCCCTCAACTTTCATATTTCTGACAGTAGCATCTCCCTTCCAGCACAATGAAAATCTCCCCTCTGACTTTTCCATTATCAGTTACTAGGCCTTAACAACTGTCCACTCTTCTTGAACTGGATGCCTTTTACTCATTGTGTGAGGCCAGACAAAGCTTCCTGCCTCGTCTCCAACCTTTCCTCATCAGATCACCCCTTCACTACCTCCAAATTCATTATTTTTTAAATGTTATTTTTAAGACTTACTTACGTTTTCAATATTTAAATACTGTAAGATTCATCAATTATTAACATCCTACCACATCTGCTTTATTTCTCTCTCTGACACAGGTCTCATGACAGGCACCTCAGCATGTACCTCTTAAAAATGGGGCCATCCTGGGGCACCTGGCTGGCTCAGTCGGTGGAGCATGCGACTCGATCTCAGGATTACAGGTTTGAGCCCCAGGTTGGATGTAGAGATTACTTAAAAACAAACTCTTTAAAAACAACAACAACAACAACAACAAAACGGGGGTATCCTCTTACATCACAACATTACAACTCATCAAACTGAAATAATACCTTTACGGTCCAAGTTCAAATTTCCCCAACTGTCCCTATAATGTCCTTGATGGCTTTTTTGTCATCATGCAGAATCCAATCAAGGATCATGCAGTTACATTTAGTTGTCATTCATTCCTTTTTTGTCTCCTTTAATCTAAAATCAACTCTTTTTTTTCTTTCACAAAATGGACATTTTGAAGAATCCAGGACAATTGTTTCACAAAATGGTCTTGCATTTGAATTCGTCTGCATGTTTCCTCATAATAGCATTAGGGTTAAGCCTTCCGGGCAGGGAAACTACATAGGTAATGTTTTGACACCAAAATCATTCTTAAAACAGCAATGTCATCATTCACTCTGTGGCTCCTGTGTGGCGGAAAATGCCATGCCGAGAGGCTTTGGGAAAATAAGTGATGGCAAATGTCCACTGGAAATGAAGTTCCTCTGTCTCGTTGTCCCCTAAATCAGAGGGCACCTTTCAAACTGCACTCTTCCTCGAACACTGGGTGTACTGTGTGAACAAGGGAAACTAACTCTAGGCCAGGTACATTTCACCTGAAGTTAAGATAAAAACAATCCTGTTTGGTCAAACACCACCTGACCAAGGGCCTCTTTCTTCTAGATCAGGAGATAATGGCCTTCAGGAATTCCACAGGCTCCCTGGCTGAACAACACGCAATACTGCCACATTAGATTCTATTTAAGATACAGAGAAGCACGATAAGAAAAGTTTTAAGGAGACCCAAAGATGTTACTGCCTTGGGTTTCGAGGCTTATCTTTAACCCCTTTGGTGAGGGCAGCAAATAGAGAGATGTTTCAAGCAGTGCTTGAAGCAGGGGAGACACCACTCCCAGGGCAGTAGCCCATTCCCCAGGACCCAAGCGAGCTGTTACCTGCGTCGCCCACTGGATTTGCGTGTGCCAAGCCCCAAGCAAGGCGTCATAGAACCCAGTGAGCTGCCGGTCCAGGGGGAGGTCACTCTGGCACAGTTCTTGCCAGGCTGCTAAGAGCTGCGCCTGCAGAGACAGAACAGAGGGGACCTCGCTGAGGAAACACGACATGACGCCCATTAAAGTTGCCCTGCCACCCCAGCGAGGCAAGCCATGTCCCGCTGCCTGTTCCCCGGGGCGATTGGGTGCCCCCATGACCATTTGATTCAAACAAAGGCAGGGAAACAAGACTTCACCTTTGCCTGCTCTGATCATCAATTAGAATGTGAATCCGTTGCCCTCCAGGTGCTCCCTTCTCCTTTCACCTCGCCCCAAAGCCTGCCAAGGTTCTTCCACCCGGCATGCTACAGTCTTCGGAAAAGACCTTAAGCTGTGAGTGCACGTACACTTGAGCTCCATGGCCCAACGCCGCTGCTTAAAGCACACAAGTGCTGGGCCTGGAGGAATTCAGTCAGCCTGGAAGGTGGTCAGGTTTTCACCTCATGTCAACAACTCTAGAAAACAAAAAATTCTTCAGGCTTGCTGAGGGCATAGTAAGGCCTAAGACACGACTCTCCCTTGAAAGACAAAAATGGGAGAAACTGAAACAACTGGTCAGTGTGTAAGTGGAATCCAGCTATCAACCTTCAAGAGGCTGAAAACAAGCCTTGTGTTTTCCAAGTGGCAAGCAAATGAATCCACAGGTTGGACCAAGACCGCCCCCTACTGGCGAATCAGAAGAAAAAGGCCAGAGGGCAAAGAGGCAGGTGTTTCCCCCCTCGGAGCACACAATTGGAGCTCTGCAGGCCGGCCTGGGAGCATTCCACAACCCTTAAGCACCCCCAGCTCCTCACCTTGTGGCATTTGTAGTAGTAGGTGAGCAGCTGGGGCATCCGGTCGATTTCAGTAAACACCTTCACAAACACTCTGGACTGATCTAAAGGAGAACAACATCAAAGATGTCCACATGGGTAGCAGGCTTCCTGTTGCAGACCAGAGAAAAGAATTCACCTGGCTCAAGGGGGATATATGTAAGCTCGCCTTCCGAACTGCCTGCCTACACAATGAATTAACTCATACATGGAGAATACAGATACGAAAAATAAGTCAAGCATAAGGGCAGAATATGTGACTCAGAAGACACTGCAAGCCCTGGCTTGTTTAGATAATGCATCAATAAGCATCAGCAATGGAGCTCAGATTATATTTCAGCAAAGTCACTGTTCCACGGGAACAGTGAAATGAGTTCGAATCAGGGCTGGGACGGTGGTGGGGGCGGGAGAGGGTGGGGGTAGGAGCTAAGCCTGGGCTGCAAAACTGAAGGAGACTCTCACTCTCAGGGTTGTGCAAGGACAGGGTGGGAGCCTCCTTAGATTTTGTGCTTTAGGCGATTCACCTGCCTCACCTCCTCCTGGCCCAGACTAGAATCATAAAATGTCAGCAACAGAAAGGTATCTGAAAAACCATCAACCGAACTCATTTCACAGGGGAGGAAAGTGCAGCCCAGAGAGCTTCTGCCAGCTGCCAAGAATAAATCATACTCTTTACTGCCCCGGGGCCTTTGCACTTACTAGGTCTGGGATGATCTTTCTGGCTCTCTGTGTGGTTCTCCCCTTATCACGAGGGCCTTTCCCAATCAGCCAACCTAAATTAGGTTTCTCCTGTTATTAATTCCCTATCACATCTTTCCCTTTGTAGACTAATTAAGATCTGTATTATTCTATTTAGTTACTTGTAAAACAGTTTATTATCTTTCTCACCCTCGGAAGTACTAGCTCTATGAGGCTGTGACCTTTCCTGTCTTGTCTTACTGTTCCTAGAAATTACCACAGCACATGGTAGGCACTCAAAAAATTTAGTAAAGAAAATTTTTTAAATGTAGTAAATTAATGACTGTTTTTTTTTTCAAGGCTTTTATTTATTTATTTGACAGAGAGAGAAGCAGGGGGAACAGCAGGGAGAGGGAGAGGGAGAAGCAGGCCCCCTACTGAGCATGGAGCCCAAAGCAGGGCTTGATCCCAGGACCCTGAGATCATGACCTGGGCTAAAGGCAGACGCTTAACCGACTGAGCCACCCAGGTGCCCCAATTAATGACTGCTTTAAATAGCATTGTTTTTCAGCAATATAAATAGCATGTTCGTGGTGGAAAAAGTGGAAAACAAGTAAGAAGAAAAAAACTGCCTATCACACTCTGTTAAACACTGTCAACGTTTTGGTGTATACTCAAAGACTGCTTTTAGACAGAAACTGCTATAATGTTTACTAGTCTAAAAATATAACCACAACTTAAAAAATTTTGACCCCACAGAACAGAACTTATTTCTTGAAACAAATAATAAAGCAGAATTTGGCGATACAGCAAACCCCGTTAGTAAAAGCGTTGGAAAACTTAAAGGTGGCATGTGAGTCTTCAGCCCTTACAGAGGAATTCGAGTTTTTCAAGGTTAGTACATTAAATTAAACACAAATTTGTAAAACTGGGGGGAGGTCCCAATTCAGACAAGAGAAAGAAAGAAATAGGAAACCTACTTTGGCAACCATAATAAAGACTTCTAGGCTCCTGCCAACACCACTGACTCAATGCAGAAGGCACTGCTGAGCCCCTGCCTGGTGAAGAGCCACCTGCTGGGTGCTGTGGGGTCTGGTGGTAGACATGTTGTTTTGCAACCACACCCCACTGCCCTTCTTCTGACAGAAGTCTGGTTGTTCTCCGAGGGACCGTGGATCTGCCTCCCATTCTCCCATTTTTGGTTGTTTTTTTTTTTTACAAAGCAAAAAACTTAGTTTATATTACAGAATAATACCATTAGCACTTTCCTACAGCTGCTAGTGATTACATATACATAAGACAGAGCGAATGTCAATTGTCTTTATCAAATAATAGTATCATCTATTACTTTGTTTGGTTTTGTTTCCAGTTTTACTGACAAGACATCACTGTATAAGTTTAAGGCATATATCATGCTGGTTTGATCTACATATATTGTGAAATGATAACAGGTTCAGCTAATATCCATTTTCTCATACACACACAGTAAAAAGAAAAGAAAGAAGAAAAGAATAAAGGTGGAAACATTATTCTAGTGATGAATACTCTCAGGATTTACTCTCTTAACAACTGCCTTGGGAAATCCTATAGAAATGTTAACTACAATCATCATGTTGTATGCTACATCCCTGCTACCTACTCTAACTGAAGTTTGTACCTTTTGACCATTTTCCATTTAAATGTTTCTAGTGAAGCTGACACTACTCCAGGATCTGGGGTATGGCCAGCCAGAGCCTCAAATCCACCTGATCAAAGTAACTGGTTCGGAGGTGCAAAGGCCTGCCCATCAATGCAATCAAGATTAATCCTGGGATCTCTTCTTAAGCTGTGAGGTGCAAGGGCCACCACATGAAAAGTGCACCTGGAAGTTACTAACACATAGAGAGACAGAGCCAAGAAATGGCAAGAGGGACTGGGTCCTAATAATAACACAGTTTGTGCTCCTGGATCAGCAAGACCTACTCCTGAACTTCTCAGTTCCATAAACAATATAGTCTCTCTTTTTCATTTAGGCATGTTTGAACTGGGTTTCTGTCACTTGCAAAGAATCCCAAACTGATACAAGCCTCATGTGAATAAGATGGGCTCCCTAGTCTCTATGCCATCCACCCACAGTGTAATATAGGGCCAATGGATTCTTATTATTTCTAATTAACAACTGATTTTGGATTATAAACAAGACAATATAACAAACAGCATCAATGGGAAATTTCATTTACGTTGCTTTTGCACATGATTTCATATTCTATTTAGACATAAGGAAGTACTTCTCACACAGTGCCCTGCACATAGGAGATATGTCACAATTATCTGTGAAGTGAAATGAAATAAATATATGGGAAGAAATGCTCTTAAATCTCATCCTAAAATATTTCCCCCACTGAATCAGTCTGTACCACTTCATCCTGGAGGGCTACCCTTCACCCTTCCCCCACTCTCTGTCACTCATTTTTTTCTGGAGAAAGAGAGTATCTGGTTGAACGTATCAATAAATATAAAAAGAGGTGAGGATAATATCAAAGGCCTTCGATATACAACGTAGGTAACAACATAAAAAAAAATACACTGTGGAGAAGCTAGCTGTCACCCTTTTACATTCACACTTCTTCCAAAGCTTCTCCATTTATATAACCTCACTTCAACCTCAATGCAATCCTATGAGGCCAGAAGATGGAGAAATTGGCAACAGAATAAATAAGCCCGACCAGATCACACAACCAGAAGGGCCGAGACCGCCTCTCAGTCCGGTTCCTGAGGCATCATCTAACTTCTGTGACTTGTCTAAAAGGATAACTAACAGATGCAAGAGTTTAAATCTCAGATCCAGCAAACAATTCCAGGAACTATGCTGGTCCGGTTCAGAGAAGAGGAGAGAGTTTCAGAAGGAAAGTCTCTGGGGAAAAGGGGAAAGGCACTCAGAACGCCTTACTCCCATTTTGGAAAAAAAAGAAGGCCTATGGATGGTAGCAAGAATGAGAGGGAATAGGGGCGCCTGGGTGGCTCAGTCATTAAGCTTCTGCCTTCGGCTCAGGTCATGATCCCAGGGTCCTGGGATCGAGTCCCACACCGGGCTCCCTGCTCCGCGGGAAGCCTGCTTCTCCCTTTCCTTCCCCCCCACTTGTGTTCCCTCTCTTGCTGTCTCTCGCTCTCTGTCAAAATAAATAAATAAAATCTTAAAAAAAAAAAAAAAAAGAATGAGAGGGAATAAAAAGGCAGCCAGAAACTTAAGGATAAAGTGAAGCTGAAGAGGAAAGGAATTAAAATCATAGTGCCTGACCTGACTCTGCAAAAATGAACTGAGCTTACAAAGTTGTGATAATAGAAACACTATTTATTAATTCAGTTAAAAGCAATGGTATACAAGGAGAATGTAAAGGGGAGAGAAGAGTGGTATGAAAGCGAAATCTTTAGTGATAACAATAGGAGGTCAACAGACAATGCCTAAAGTTAATATACAAAGAACTAAAATAATAAATGTATTATGCAGAGGGGCACCTGGGAGGCTCAGTTGGTTAAGCATCCGACTCTTGATTTCGGCTCAGGTCATGATCTCAGGGTTCATGGGATCAAGCCCTGTGTTTGGCTCTGTGCTCAGCAGGGAGTCTGCTTGAGACTCTCTCTCCCCCTCTCCCTCTGCACTGCCACCTCCCCCCGCCCAACCATGCATGCGTGTGTGTGTTTTCTCTCTCTTGGAGATAAATAAATCTTTAAAAATAAGTAAACAAATGTATTATGCAGAAATATAAAATGAAATGCCAGAGAAAAGAGCTCTGAGAATTAAAAGTGCTCTCATGGGATCAGGACTGGGGAATGAAGTGGTAGAGGAAAAAAATGTTCTTTTCCCCAGTAAGACCTCCAGTACTGTTCAACTTTTTCAACACTGTTGGTGAGGGGAACAAATCTTAACTGAATTCAAGAAACATAAAAATGAAACCAGTGAAGTCATTTGTAGGTCTGGACTTCAAATTTGTAGTGTAGCTCCATCTGCTGAGCTAGAGGGCTTTTTAGAAACACGGCTGCTCCTGCAATTCAAATAGAACCTTCACGATTTCCTGACTGGTCTCTTAGGACTTATTCCCATTGGGTTTCTGTGAGAGCCATGAAATTTTGAATGGGGGTTCAAGTGAAAGGAATAACGTTCCATTATTCCGGGGGAGTGCTTCCCCCAGAAGGAGTGTAGGAATCGTAGGGTGCGTGTTCCGTACTCCCTTTACTAAGAAGGAAATTGAGGTCTCACTGCTAAGAGGCAGCAGCCCAAAGATTTCAAAACTGGCCTGTCCATCTCCCAAGTCCACACTCCTTCCACTAGGCCAACAGCCTCCAGCAGACTTACTAATAAACTGCTTATAGCCATGAAATTCTTCCCCGGATGGAAACTCCTCAGTCT